TAGAATGAATCCAAAAGGTGCATATGAAGCTGAATGTTTGGGGAATCTAGCAAGTATTGATATATTACTGTGTTTTAGCCGTTTGGCTGTAATTCGTGTTCAAATTTGAAAAAATGCTCGAAAATAAAAGCTGTTTACACAATTTTATTGATTTTGTCGAAAACTATAAGAAATACAATAGATCCAAGAGATGCATATGAAGGCTGGATCTTTGGGAAATGTAAAGATTCTGTGTATTATAGTTTTCGAGTAAATCAATGAAATCTAAAAACACTGCTTTTTCGAGCATTTTTCAACTTTTATAACGTATTACAGCAATATGGATAATAGCACAGGAATCTATCTATACTTTAGCAGATATTAGGAAAATTGCTCACTGCAATTACTAATATTCGCGCCTCCCCTTAGACTAGTTCACGCCTCCCCAGGGACGCGCGCCTCACAGTTTGGAAAACGCTGCTTTAATGTAACTAATACACTACACTTCAATACACTAAGTCTGACAATCTATAAATAGATTATATTGACATTTTTTTTGCACGTTTTCAAGGATAATAATGTTATACAATTTTTGTAATGAGTTTCCAAGTTTTGTTAAGCAACAAAAACGTTTATTTTTGTATTTATCCAAAGAATCTCAATAGCTAATGTCAAATTGACAGTTACTATGGACGCTTACTGACGTGACCCAATGACATTTCTAAATGACAATCATATTTTAGATTACGCAATCAATGCGACCGTAACTATGGACGCTACTATAATTACTAAGGACTCTTTAATGCAATGACCTAATGACATTTGCTAATGTTACATTTTTAGATGTAGCGTGTATCCAATTGATATTTTTGTTTTGTTTTTTTTCTAAATGAAATTATCTGCAATTTAATTGAGCGACCTTCCAAATGGCCTTTAGTAAATTATCGTTTAATTCCCATTAACAAATTTACTTTATTCAATTACTATTACCAAAGTGATACGAGTTTATAATGCAAATATTTACGTGTCCTTCATTTAGTATTTTTAGTTTTACGCGTTTATTATGATAACAACCTGAATCTTCCGAAGACCGAAATAAGTTTGTTAGTTAAGATTTGTGCGTACATTACTGTTCTTTGCACGTTTTAACATGAGATTTTTTACTTATTTTTGCAACAACGTTTAAAATTAAATTGTTAACTTTTATAGGATTTTGTATCCAAATATTTAAGTTTGCAAATTTATTAATAAACTTGAATAGATCCAAAAAGTAGTGTAAAATATACTAAAATGAAATGGACATCAACAAATATCAAGAATTTCCAGTCTACAATTGCTTTTGTTTTAAGTTACTGCCGAACAAGCAAAAATGATAATGCAAACTCTTCAGTTTTTACTATTTGTTTTTCTGCATTGGAAAATTTATAAAATAATCTTAATCACTTTCATCCTGTTAATCCTTAAATTTGCAACTTCGCTAATGTCAATGTGACAGTTGCTAGGGACGCTACTTCAGTTACTAGAAACGCTTTATATGACGTAACCCCAATGACATTTCTTACAAGATCTGTCATTTTAAAGGTTACATTCTTAAGGAGAATAATCACTTCAATAAACGATTCCAAATTGATTATAAAACAATCTTAATCACTTACATCAGTTTTAACTGATTCGAGAATTTCTAGTATATTCCTTTTGATGATGCAGGAACGTATTCAGCGAATTTTGCAGATTAATACAAATTTCCACTTCAGTTTATCTTGCCAGCGAAACTGCACTTTTTATTTTCTTTTCATTGCACTGGTTAATTTATCGCGAATTCGCGGTGGGCGTTGATAATATTCATGCAAACACGATTATCATGGTAATACAGATAATTTTAGCAGAAGGGAAATTAAACGTGGCTCGTCGTTAACGAATTAGATAAGCAGGTTCACTAGGTTACCAAAAAAGTTTGATATTGTAACCATAGAAACAATTAACGATTTTTTGTACGCCAGTTACGTAACCGCCATTTAAAGAAGAAGGAAATGATTCTATATTTTTGCTAGGACTGCGGTTTGCTATTATAGTAATAATAACTGTCGTTTCACGGTTGTCTGCGTTCGCAATGTAATTTCGCATAATTGAAGTTCGATCGAATAGAAAGAAAGGTATGAATATAGATAGATCTGTCATTATCTGACATTTCGATGGCAACTGCGATTAACGATTGTTAAAATTGGAACAATTGCTTACCGGAGGATAGGAAACATTTGAATTTACATGCGGCGTTGCGTAATGCAACTCGAGCGGAATGCGAATAATGCAAACATGCTCGTTTTCCAGGCAAACTCCGCGCAAATCGGAGGTGTTTCTTTCCATTTGCAAAGCTAAAATTAAACATCAAATTCCGTTCGGAAAGGAGCGAGCGCACAGTTCAAAGACCAAATTCGTAACAACTGTCTGTCTGTCTAAACGTCAATAAAAAAAAAGAAGTGGGCCTGTCTTGTGTCCAAATGGTAATAATTATGAGCATCTTTTCGGACGGATATTATTCCTCCCTTTTGACAAGAACGCCGCGTTTCCAAGAACACGTTTCGAGTTTCTGGGGGCCTAATTAAACGTCGGTTTTATCGCCGTTTCTGGAACGAATATAATAAACGAGCCTTTCCAACATCATCATTAATTTCGACTATCTATGAAATATATACAGTTTCGAGGAAAGTGAAACTAAAGCAACAACAACAAAAAAAAAGAAACGATACATATATTTTCAAGTTTATGTAACGCATTCGTACTATAAATAAAACATTTGAAAAAAGTAAATTAAAAAGTCTAATTACTTCACGTGTCAAAATCTATTTTCGATTAATTTCAAACATCAGTTGAAATTTTAAATATGAATAATGTTAATTTATCGATCATTGAAATTGTAAATTAAAATCGAAGCAATAGATAATTCGCCTTGATTGTCCGAAACACCTTGACATCTGAGGTTACGAAACTTTTGACGTATGTGTCAAAATTTGAAATTGTGATTCGAATTAGTTATATAATTCAGAGCGAAACGAGTCGAGCCGGATGTTGTTCAGCTGTAATTCGATAAGGCGATGATTTCGTGGAAGAAAGATTCGGGAATGCGAGTCGTCTCCGAAGAAGATGGAATGCGAACGTAACGCCGTTTCCGGTGCAGACCTCTCACAATGCGCGTCTGTCACTTTGACAGTTCCAATTTTTTTTGTTGTGCGTTTCGGTGAGAAGAGCTGTGACCACATGTGCATCAAAGCAATTAAAAAAAAAGCGATAAATTAAAACGGAAGATGTCGTTTTTTTCTTTTGCTTCTATTTAATTATCAGTTTATGGTGCGAAATTGTTTTGAATCATTCAATTGAATCGTGCGTAATTTTCAATTAGGCGTTGGGAAACATTAAAAATAAAGATTTAAAAAAAATTGGCTCGTTGTTGTTCCTTTAGGAAATTGGTAATTTTACGATAATAACGTTTGTTATGGGTCCGAGCCGGAGACTCCGGCTCGGTAATACCCTGGGAATGCCATTATGTAAAGTTGATTTAATGGTTATTGTAGAGACGGAATCGTTCCTCGTTATGGCACATGTCCCATTATGGATGTTTAATGGTTCTACTTTTTGTTGTTATTCAATCCCTTTTTTTTCTTCTTCTGTAAGCTGTTATATTATGTGTGTATATATATTTTTTTTGGGGAGTGAAATTATATGAGCTTCTCGTTTGAGGAGATTTACCAGAAGGCCCTAATAAAACTCGAGGTCTCATAGAGCCGCCGAACAACGCCAGATGCGTGGAGTAGCACAACGATTCTTTGTGTTTGTTGCCTTGGTGATTGCAATTATCATGTATACTTTTGAAGTTACTATAGTTACGATATATCCATTAGCGTTGAGAGCGTTAAGGGAATTATTGATACCTTAATAAAAAAAAATCTGTAAAACACTTAATATCTATTATTTATTTATAATTTAAATTTAAACTATTCAGATAACTGCTCTCGATTGAAGTGTTTTCATGTATTTATAGAAATTTTTTGCAATTGCTTCACCACTTTGAAGTGCTTCAAAACACTAAGTCTAATAGTCTGATTATATTAGAAATAAAAAATTGAATAATTGCACGTTTCCATGGACTCAAAACAAAATGCATAATGATAATGTTGTACAATTTTGAGTTAATGAGTTTCCAATTTAAAGGTTTTGAATAGTTTTTATTGTAAAATGTTGTTGAAATTTGTCACGTTTTTCTTGATAAATGTGTCGGGTTCATTCATTATTGAATAATGTAATTGCTGTATCTCAATGGAATGAATGAATGAATGAATGTGAGGATTTGAACAATGTCTAATTGATTTTTGCTTATGTGTTTCAGGAAGTTTATCGGAGTGCGTGATAACCTTGCTAAGTGGTCCGAGGCGAGAGAGCAATAAATTGGATAAATGGCGGTGATGTGCAGATGTGCTTCTGTCGCGTGAATCTTCACGAAAGAGAGCGGTAGGAAAAGCGAAGTTGCAGTTTATCCATTAGTTAGAATAGTTGGAGTTTGAGAGAAGAGAGAGTATTGTTGAGAGAAGAGGGATTTTTCTGGTAATATGAACCGGAGGACGAGGAGGTGCAGATCATCCTGGAAATGGCGGTTCTAGCGGCGCGCAGGAAACTGTTCAACGTCGCCTTCGGTCTCATCGTCGGCCTGTGCCTCTCGCAGATGCTGAAGAAGAGCGGCGGCGGTGGCGGCGGCAGCGACGACGTCTGCGTGGAGACGTCGAGGAGACCGGCCGCATGGGCCACGGAGGACGACGAGCAGGACACTCAGGAGAAGCTCCTCTTCGTCGGCGTGATGACGGCAGCGAAGTATCTGGACGGACGGGCGAAAGCCGTCTACGATACGTGGGGATCGTCGGTTCCCGGGAAGATCGCGTTCTTCAGCTCGGAGGGATCGTACAGCGAACACGTCCCTCTGATACCGCTCATCGGCGTCGACGATACATACCCGCCGCAGAAGAAGAGCTTCATGATGCTCAAGTACATGCACGACAATTACTTGGAGAAGTTCGAGTGGTTCATGCGGGCCGACGACGACGTCTACGTGCGCACGGACAAGTTGGATCGTCTGCTGCGTTCTGTTGATAGCAGAAAACCGTGGTTCATCGGGCAGACGGGAAGAGGCAACTCGGAGGAATTCGGTCTACTGTCTTTGGAGAGCGACGAGAACTTCTGCATGGGCGGACCCGGAGTCATCCTCAGCAGGGAGACGTTGAGGAAGATCGGACCGAACATCGAGAGCTGCTTGAGCACGCTGTACACCACCCACGAGGACGTCGAGCTCGGACGTTGCGTTCGTCGCACGGCCGGCATCTCCTGCACATGGTCCTACGAGGCGAGTCCTTCTAACCAGGCAAGAGAGGTGTTATTAGAGACAACGAGTATTTCCTGCCTGGGTTTCTATATTCTCTCTTATTTTTACATTTTTATTTTCCCCCCCATTTTCATATTTTTTTTGTTTATTCAATTTACGCTTTCCTTGGTTGCAGTTTACTTCATTTTCATTCATTTGTTTAAATTTTAAATTTCATTTGTTTTTCATTTCAATTGTCGTGTTTTGTTTCAATTTTCAAATTTTCGTTCATTTTCTTTTGTTTCGTTTTTTGTGTGTTCTTCCACTTAATTCAATCCCGATGGTCGCGGTCTTTCAACCTAAATTTTTCTATCCTCCCCCGTTTATTATTAATAATTTTTTTTTCTTGTAAACTTTTGCATCCAAACTTTTGACCAAACGATTTCTGCTGTTGTTTGCATTATGCAGATGCAGGTCATCTTTTACCATAACCAGAGCGGAAACGCGGCCTTCACGGGGGACCTCAAGCAGAAGGAAGTGCATCGCGCCATCACGTTGCATCCAATCAAGAAGCCCAAGTACATGCATCGCATGCACAAATACATCAAGGTAACTTATCGGTTGCTATAGAAATAACAAAATTTGATAATATTACATAAACAAATGATAACATTTGACGTTCGCTGTCATTTTCATTCAAACGTTGTTATAGATGTATAAGAAAGATTAAGAAATTATTACATAATTGTGTGTTTTCAGAGTTTGCAGTTGCAAGCGATCAAGCAGGAGAGCATCCGATTGCATCGAGACATCGCATCTTCGATGGCCGAGAGGAACGTCAATCTGGATCAGCTGGGCGAGGCGGAACTGTACGAAGACGTTCGACTGTTCGAAGAGCCCTCAGGATCGTCGTCGTATCTGGGTGAGGCGAGGGTTTTGGGCGCGAGGAACGGTTTGAACCGTTTCAGACCGACGGACGTGGAGGACGTCCTCGACTGGGACTTCATCTCGAAATCTCTGTACTCGTACAAAGATTCCAACTCGAAACGGAGATTGGGATCTTCGATCAAAGAAGGCCTATCGGACGTCATCAGAGAAGTACGAATTTCTTTGTTTCATTCTAATTGTCAAAAGTTGATTGTGTCAAGTGTTTGTGTTAATTGTTTTTCATATTTTTTTCTTATTATTATTATTAGGTGATGGAAATTATCAATTTGTATTCGAAGCAACGCGGAAGAGTCATAGATTTCAAGGAGGTGTTCTACGGCTATTGGAGATTGGACCCGGTGCACGGTGTGGATTTGATCCTGGATCTGCTGCTTGTTTATAGGAAGTACAGAGGGCACAAGATGACGATTCCGGTTCGTCGCCACGCTTACATCCAGCAGACGTTCACCGGTCTGGAGATTCGCGAGATGGACACGGTTGGTAACGCGAGCATGGCGGAAACGGAAGTTCCGTTACATCGGAAGTTAATAAAACAAGTGATTTCTAAACTGGGCGACGGGATCTTCTCTTCGAACGGTGCAAGTAAAAAGAGGATAACTTTCGTACTTCCTTTGAGCGGAAGATATGAGACTTTTAAGAGATTCCTGCAGCTGTACGAGGACGCGTGCGTTTTGGAGTTGGAGAGCACCAGGCTGCTGGTGATCTTGTATAAAAGCGGTGACTTTGATCTGAGCTACGATCTGCTGATGAAGCTCAGGGATCGGTACAGAAACAGTGAGATTTTGGTGGACGTTGTCGACGATGAGGTGGAGTTTTCGCGTGGCAGAGCTCTGCAGCGTGGTGTTAATCTGACGGAACCCGGTGATTTGCTGTTGTTCATCGACGTGGACATCGTCTTCAGCAGGGAGAGTCTTCGGAGGATCAGGCAGAACACGGTGCGCGGTCGTTCCGTTTACTTCCCGATAGTTTACAGCACGTACAAGGAACCTGCAGATTGGCAGGACGTGTTCGCGCCTAGGGAGAATATTAAGTATGTTCCTAATTTCGATAACAGCTCTGGGTCTTGGAGGCAGTTCGGTTTCGGGATCGTCAGTCTCTACAAGTCCGATTACGAGACTCTCGGTGGTCTCAATCTGACCATCTCCGGTTGGGGTTACGAGGACGTCAACTTCTTCGATGCGGCGATTCGTGGTGCCGGCGGTTTGAAGGTCATCAGGTCGGCGGATCCGGGTCTGCTGCACGTCTACCATCCGGTCGTGTGCGATCGAAAGTTGGATTCGCTCCAGATGACGATGTGCAGGGGAAGTCAGGCGAGCACGTTGGCATCCCTGAAGAACATCCAGGAGTTCATCAAAACGCACAAGGACTTCTTCAGAGGAATCTTATGATATATGTAATACTCGTTGCTGTGATTTTATATTTATATTTTACATGTAATAATTATGATGAGAAGAAGGACAAGAAGAAAAGAAGGAAGAGAAAAAAGATGAAAAATGCTACAAAATTCTAATACCCGAAAACGATTCACCACTGTACAAAGACATTATGAAAACCAATAAAATCGTTCCACATTTTCGAAATAACAATTCAGTCTATATAGACGAGTGGCGGATATATCCGCCTTATCCTTTAATACATCAACATTCATTCAAAAGACACAATAAATCTATTCTGTTTGATGCATTTTGTATAGTTTCATAATCAATTTGCAAAAAATAATATATTGTACATGAGACACGTTAAAAATGAAGACACTAATTTTTGAGGTTGACATTTACAAAAAAAAAATCAAATTTTTGATACTTGATTTCTCAAAAATATCGAAAACCACAACAAAACTTATTTGTTTAATGCATTCTATATAGTTTTTAGTTCAAATTGCATAATTAATATTTTAATTATCTTTTATTTTAATTGAGATTTACTTTAAATTTCAATGCACTGATTTTGACGTTGACGTTGACATTATAATTTTTTTTTATTAATTTTGATACTCGATTTCTCGTTCATTCCAAAAAAACCACAACCAATAACACTTATTTAATGCATTTTGTATGGTTTAATTTAAATATTTAATATATTTTTTCATAAGAAGCAAGAAATATACGAAATTGCAAGTCACAATTTCATATTTAATTTTGTCAAGTTTGGTAGTCAATTCTCATGTTGTCTTTTCATAAATGAAATTAATTCATTTAGTTTAAAGTATATTAATACAGGAAGTCTACAATTTAAATGTATTTTGCAAAACTATTAGTAACTTTAATCATTTAATGAACATATTGCATATGCAACCAAATATTCTTTCAAACAAATTAATTATTTTATTGGCTTTCCGTAATTGTAATATATGCAAACAAATATACGCTTGTGGACCATAAATTAAGTTATGTAACTGAATTAACATCTATAGCTATCGCTTAAACATCACATGTTAGATGTCGCTACAATACAATTAATAAGTTAATAAGTAAACTTATTTGTATTCTTCATAGTTTCAGCTTTAATTTGTATATGTTTAGATGTTTATTTGTTTAACAAATACGTTACAATTTTGAAATATCTAAAAAATTTATTGTTTTCAATTTGAGATTACGCAACTATGGTAAAAGATCCAATCGAATTTAAGCAATTATCGAATTCTCTATAGTTTAAGCTCTCATTTGCATCTTAAGTATATAATCAGTCTTGCTTCAACATCGAGAAGTACGTTAAAGTTTAAGACGTTGTAACAGAAAAAACTTTTGAAAATTTCTAAAAAAATAGTTGTTTTTAATTTGAGATTAAACGATTATAGTAAAAGATGTAATGGAATTTAAGCAATTATCGAATTCTCTATAGTTTAAGCTCTCATTTGCATCTTAAGTATATAATCAGTCTTGCTCCAACATCGAGAAGTACGTTAAAGTTTAAAACGTTGCAACAGAAAAAACTTTTGAAAATTTCTAAAAAAATAGTTGTTTTCAATTTGAGATTACGCGATTATCGTAAAAGATCCAATCGAATTTAAGTAATTATCGAATTCTCTATAGTTTAAGCTCTCATTTGCATCTTTAGTATATAATCAGTCTTCCTCCAACATCGAGAAGTACGTTAAAGTTTAAGACGTTGCAAAA